GTCTCTTTCACACTCTCTATATAGAACATTTTACACATGCTAACCACAATATACGTTGTCTTAGGGGTTGTTTTGAATTTCTGTCATCGATTCGTCATTGTTCTCTATTCTGAAAGAATATGATGCATGTTCTTTGCTAATATTGTTTTTCTCTTTTGTTTAACGTTGAATAACACCATCAACACATCGATTTAGGTAGGACAAAACTTTCTCATCATTCTTTTTAAGCGTTAATAATAGTAATTACAACATACTAGAATCCATCTGTTTTTGGTAAACAGATTAATCCGACACCCCAGTGAAAAATAATCATAGAAAAAACGGTGTAGAACGCGTTCGAATTTCAGAGAAATGTTTTTTTAAGAAAAACAGTTTATTAAAAAAGTGGAAACCGTTCCAAAAAGGAATGGTGGAGAGCGGTTTCCACTTTTTGAGAAAAATGTTTTCTTCTTAAAAACAACTTTTCATCTTTTCGGAATCTGTTCTATACCGTTCTCATTTGAAAATGTTGGATAACGAATTCCGCCATTTAAAGAAATCTTTCTCGACCAATTCTGTGAAAAGAATTTTCTTGACAATCACCTAGCTACCTGGAATTCATCTTCTTTTTCTCTGTTTCGAATTTGTTATACATTTTATTATTCTATTTGACTTATGTGGGTTTTTTTATTCCGTTAGCTGGTTTTTACTTGTCGCTGCTTCGGGTTAGGTTTGTACTAACCTATCTATACGTACAAGTCTAGCATGCATGCTATTAGATTGTCTTTTCTGAGAGTTAGTGTAGTGAAAATACAACTAGGGTTGAACAAAATATTAGAATCAAAATATGTAAATTTTCATTTTAAACGTTCATTTCTCTTCATAATTAACAGAAAAAAAGATAAAAACTTTAGTTTTCGTCTATTGCTTTTAAAATTAAAATAAGCAATTATTATATAAAGAAATATTTATCTAAATATTTTAAAAACAATTATGCTTACATTTTAAATGAAAAAATCTGCGCCACACATGAATAAGTATCATGTAAAATATGATTATATACATAGATTTTAAATTTAAATGTAATATTCAAATAAAAAATTAGATCAGCTAGACTAATATTTATAGGACGAATTTTTCCGAAATTATTCTCGACAGATATTATAAAATTCCTTTTTCCATATCAATTATACAAGACACATCCTTCTGCTTTTAAAACCAACTATTCCACCCAGAAACTAACAATATGCTAGCCATCGGCTATCAATAAATGAGCGATTATATTATTTAGGTATGTGGTCCAGCCAAAATGTACTTGCTTCTTAAATTCTTAGCCCGCTATATTTATTTTTCGAAATTAAAATTAATCTTGTACCTATAATATAAATACAAATGTATTTATATCGAAACAGGTATGTTTTTATGCATAAATTTTAGTATTTATATTTATCAAATCAATATATATATATACACGTATGTACATTTGAAAAATATAGAATGGTAGAGAGCATTTTTGCTTCTTTCCAAAAATGATGTTTAATTATTTGGAAAGCATTCATTACTTCAAAGAGTTCTTTCTAATGCATTCCGTTACAGAACGTGAGAGAACGCGATCTCGTCAACATGGAACTCAATCCTGACCTTACCCAAATAGAATGAAAAGAAAACCATTCTGAGAGTGAATGGAACGAGTTAGAAGGCTTACTATTCTGATGAAGAAAGATTTTTGAACTAGGAAGAAAACATTCCATAACAGTATGGAACGTTGAAGAATACATTCCCTTACACACTAAGTTTAAATGCGTCGCATGTGTCGTGATTTGCGACACAATGTACGACACCATCGAGTGCGATATCAGGTGCTCGTTGCGACATACTATCTCCAGCGATGGCACAACACATTTTGTACGACACAGTTTCATTTCTGAAAACTCAAACAGGTTAGATCTCGAGTCGGTCCGGTTTTTACCAGACCATTTTCGACTAGTCCCACCTCGACCAATAACCAAGATAGGCATTCTCTCGACTAATTATTAATCGAGAAATAATCTAAAAAATATTTAAATGAGAATACATAACTTTCGTATGTTCAATCGAGTTCTCTATATAGGGCCTCTTACGCAAAAGAAAAGGGTGAATTGATAGTTGACACACAGAACGAGACAAAGTTTTTAGCGACACTTTCTGTTGCGACATATTTTCGACACTGAACCTGCGACACTTATTCGCAACACATATATGCGACACATTTTAATTTAGTGTACAGATGTTGAACGAGTTCTTTTCAGTAATGAACACATTTGTCAACTTATAGAACGCGTTCTTCGTGAAAAATATAGCTTTCCCTATTCTGATGAATGCGTCCCTTTACGTTTCTTTCTATGATTATTTTTCACTGGGAAGGAAAGAAAGAAGAAAGAAAGAAAAAGCATGTTCTTATACTTTTGTCTAGTATACTATTTCTATATATATCCCTATCATTCATCTCTCAGAAACGCAGTATCTTCTCAGTTATTCTGTTGATATTGTCCTACTTTTTATTTCATACCCCCATATGCTGCTATACACTGTTGTGTTTTATTTGTATTTGGTTTTTTCTCTACTTTTCTCAGATAATGTTAATTCGGTTCACTATTGTTATTTAGGTTGCTAGAGCTTCGCTATTTTTCTAACATTAATATGGCTTTATGACGAAAGAATACTAATAATCAAAACCTAGTCACTTTATTGCTTGGCTGTTGTTTACTGGCTATTCGTAATGGTTTTAACTTGACGTTTTAGATATTTCAACAAGTAATATTCACCTAGACTTATCTCATTGTCTGTGTTATTGTACGTTCAGCTCACTACCATAATACTTACGGAGGCATTTTCCCAAGGCATATTTCTATTCTTTCTGCCATTTCTTTCTGTAGTTTCTTGATCGATAAGAATACGATTCACTCGTGTCATAGGCAAACAACTACGATAAAGACAGAAAAATCTCGTACTGTTCTTTCGTCCCATGTTAACTTCCTATTCTGTTCTTTTTCCATTTGTGTAATCTCTATCGGTTTTATCTTCGCAGATTTTCTTCATTAGTATACATAGATGCAACACGTTTTCCATCTAGACAGAAAGAAATACACGCTTATCAGCGAACTTGTGACTGTATCCCATGTAACTATTTATAAGAAGGGCTGTTTGACGTAATACTATAGGAAGAATCGTTTAAAGGAATTATTTTCATCGTATCAGAATCGATCTGAATACAAGATCAGTTCATTATAAGTTGAAAATAACCTACGCTGGGCTAGACACAACTCGATTTTTTTTATCTTCATGAGATACCTGAATTACTCGTTTTTACAGTGTCGACGATAATATTAAGAATAGTGATGCTGACTTATCATACTTTGTAACATAAATATAGATAGGGTGCTTATTTTTATCAAATCAAGATAAATTATTCTTTTTATTTATAAAACGACGATTAAAACGCGTGAACTCTTGGTTATTTTGAAAAGTAAATATGCATATAAGCCATATAAAAGTATTGACTAAAAGTTTTCTTATTAATATGAAAAGATCATATCAGCTCTTTTTATAGAAAACGGTGACACTATATGAAGAGTCATGCAAGAAAACAATCCTGCCATTGTACTCTGTTTATATTAGTAATACTGGAATTTTTCTGAGCTAGCCTTAATAAATAGAGTTTTTTTTATAAACTAAAATAATGATGGATCTTCTCTTATGAACGTAAGTAAAAAAGTTTGTATTTTCGTTCTTCAAACCACAGGGATAATTTTGTTTTACTTTATAAACTTACGCTTTACTTCGATCATCGCACACTAAAAGCAGGTGTTAAAAAAGAAGTTGAAAGTAAAACCAACATGTACATAGAATTTATTTAGTTATCAACGAAAGAAATAATGAAAATTCTCACGAAAAATGAAAAATATGATCTATCACGATCGAATCAGAAAATATTTGAGAGTTTAAGAGAAAAATACATATGTGTATTTTCTTTTTTTATAGTCGCATTTATATTTTCCATAGTAGATATTTACATAAAAATTTACTGTCACAGGGAAGTGAATTAGTGAAATCAGTTGATTTAAACTAAGTTAATACTCGATATAAGAACGAAAACTGAACTAAAGAGTCCACAAGAAAATATATCGTACATATCAATGTGTATGCAATGAAATTGAGTAGATTTTCTGTTCAAAATTTATCATTCAGATTATTGTTGTAAACTTAGATAAATTTTGATTATCCTTAATTGTTGCGCATAGAAAAATAACAAAAACAGGATACTTTTTTATCATTAATTTGAAAATTCAAGAAAACTTACAGATTGTATCCTTCATGATATATATATATGACCATGCATCGCTCATAAATTCGTGTTTTACTTTGTTGTTAACGCTGAATTAAATCAACGAAAGAATTTCATATATTTACTCAACCGAATAAATAAGAGTTTCCTAAGGTGAAGAGCTGTTAGTGCAATCCCTATGGGATTAAAATGTGAAACACGATGAAACTTCTTTTCTGGAATTCGTCTATCACGGTCACTGATAATCTGTGGAGCTTCTGTGTCACGGTCTGTATTATGATG